CTGTTTATTTATCGGACATGCAAGCATTAATATTGTCAGTATTGTAAAAGGGAGGAGTCCGTGGTTGACAGAATACGTCGCTTGCTATATTTCCAACCGATTAAAAGACGTGCTTCGTTGGGGTCAGGGCAGGGGGGGGGGGCGGCGCTCTAAAAAGCAGGTCGCTGTGTGATTGGCTAACCGCTGCTCGGCAGAGCTTTGGCGAGGCTGAAGCTACAAAGCCCGTCAGCTGGTTGTTCCTTCTCCTGACAGGACCACAGCAGGAGCTCCTGCAGGTGTCGGGCTTCACGAGGGAAGTGATGCGTTGACGCCGTTGTGTCCACCCTCCCCCCTCACATGGACTCAAACTCGTCGATGCGCTGCTTGGTGTTACCCTGGCGGATCTGACGCAGCGTTTTGTACTTGTCTCTTCCCGCCCTGACGTTCTCGGCGTGCAGCATGTCGTTCTGAGTTTTCTTTGTGTCGTCACGGGCCTCGGCCAACTCGGAACTCAGAGCCTGGACAGACACACAGAGAGAAAGGTTGACCAATTAAAAACTTCTTTATGAGATTTTGTGTTTCTGAGCAGAAAAATAATCATGATTATAGAACAGAATAAAAAAAGAATCAAAGTTGAACATTGTGATTTTTGTGTGTTAAAACTTTATGGGAAATGTATTTCAGTAAAACATGTAAAACTCAGTATGAGTTTGTTCACAAGTATCTTTAGGATCTGATGCTGTTATTCTCAAACTCTCTTTTTTTTCAACAATATGTGGTACAGCTGTTCTTCTCTTTACTGAAAACGCTGCAGCTGTTATTTCTTTTTTTATTCCCTGGAGAGTGATTTGTGTTTTCGTCTCTATTTGCTCTACAAACCGCCGACACTCTGTGATTCGTGGCCTCCGCTTCTCTTCTGGCAAATTTACAGCAGGTGTGTGCTTGTCCAGCAGCTCGTCAAGATTTGAAAGATAAAATAGCGAAGTACGAACAGTTCACCTCAGTTTACTTCCCCTTCGCTGGATGTTTTCTAAATGACTTTCACGCTCCTGCTCTACCTGAAGCTGTTTCTTGACACGTTCATTCTTCTGCGCCTCAGTGATGCGCTCCTCCTCGCTGCGGTGGCTGGTGACGCCGTCGCTGAGCAGCTCGGCGCTCGCCTCGGCGTTGGTTTCGTCGTGCTCGTCGTCCTCCGGCGCCGGTGGAGACGTCATGGCCGACTTCAGCTCCTCCCGGGTCTTTTCCAGGTCATCTTGTGCTGAAAGAGCCTGGAAACAACACATGTGCAAATTCACAGAGAGAAACCGACACAGACGTTTACAGATGTTAACCCACAAACATTTGACACCTACTTTGTGTTGCCACTCTGTTGCTTCCTCTTCTTTTTTCCTCTTGGCCTCCTCCAGCAGAGCGATTTTAGCAGTGAACTCCGCTAATTCAGCAGCCTGTTGAAAATAAACGCAAAAGTTCATCTAAAAACTCAAATGCACAAACAATTCACAATAATATGACCCAGGCAGAATCAGCAACTTCCTTTTATTCTCGTTTTATGAGAAAAGCATTATATAAAAGTCATTTTCACTTGGACATAAACATCAGTACCAGCTGTTCGTGGTTCTTCATCTGGTCGGCCGCCTGCTGAGCCAACGACGCCTTGGCCTCCTCCGCCGCCTGCCTCTCTTTCTCCAAACGCTCGGCCTCCTCCTTCGCTCGCTTCCTCTCCTGCTCCAACTCCAGCGCTCTGCGAGTCTGATCCTCCAGCTCTGCACAAACACACACAGAAAAATATGAGTTGCATACCATTCACAACCAGTGTGGCCGTGTGATTGGGACAAATGCAAGTAAATTCATTATGAGCTGACGCTTTTATCCAAAGCGGATACAAGCATATAGGTGCATTCAATTCATGAGGGTTCATAACGAGCAAGAGTTGGTGATTGTTTCTAACATGCAACAGACAACAGGATACCTCGGGACGAAAGGAGCAGACGTTAATTTGGGGAAAAGAACGAAATCCATGTGTTTTTTTCCTGCAGCTGTGAAAGTGTCTGACATGTTTTCTGATATGAAGAGAGCTTCATCCTCTTGTTCGTGCATGGAGGCCGGCTGAGGGAGGAGCATGATGTGCTCTCTTCTTGTCGTACCTTTCTGAGCTCTCTGAGTCTGCTCCTCGATCTGCCTCAGCCTCTGGATCAGCTCCTCCTTCTCTCTCTCTATTCGCTCCTTTTCCTTCTCCGCGTGCTCTCGCTTCTTCTTCTCGTTCTCCAGCTGCGCTCTGCATCAGCGAAACACAGAATTGGTTTGGTGACATCATCTAGAAGTTTTAACTTTCTGTTTAACTTCCCCCCCCCACACTGATGGACACGTGCATCAGTAATATAAACATGCATTATTTGGTACAGTGTATGGAGTGATGGATTTAAATCAGAATGCAACACACACACATACAAGTACACACAATCATATTTCACCCACTGACATTTAAAGCATGCTGCAGATTCATCTCTGCAGAAGTGAAGCAGGATGTTCTTTAACGCAGCACTGCCCCCTATCGCTCACACGAAGAGTTTTCAATGAATTTCCACTTTAAACATCAACTATTATTTGTTCATTGACTCAGTGTGAACATGAATCCCAGAAACAAAAAGCAAATCATGAAAACGAACACTTTAAACACTGTGATTTCCAGCAGGGAAACATTTTTTAAAGACGTCTCTTCTAGTCTCAATAAGTGAGAAGCAGCGTGAGCTCGTACCTCTCCATCTGTTTGTGGTGTTTTTCCTCTCGGGCCTGAGCCTTCATCTGCTGCACCTCGATGGTGTCGGGCTTCCTCCTCCTCATGTACAGCTCATGGTTTCCCATACATAACGCCAGGATGCGCTTGTTGATGCGCAACCGAGGAGCGTAAAACACAAAGTCCTGAAGGAAGCACAGAGGACGGGCGTAAAGGATTATCGTTCAAAAATCTGAATCTAAAAGAAAATCACGATCAATCCATCACTTACTGGAGCTTTCTTGTCGATGGGCTTAATGACAAACTTCTTGTCGTTGAAGGAGATGTTTCGGATCTCACTCCAGGGGAAACCGATCTTTGGCGACAACCTGAGGACGCGACAGATTGTGAGAGTAAACTTTTTTAAAAAACTTCAAGAAATGATTTTAGGTGTGAGAAAAAAGCCTTAGTGTTCCATGGTCTTCATCTGCTATGCTGTCCAACACCACAAGGGGGCTCTGTTGTCAAACTAATACAATTCATGAAGGAGAAGGAAAAATGTAAATGTCTTTATTTTTATATATATAATTTAGCTGAGGTAGAAGTTCTGCGCTTTTGTACCAGACTGGCAGCGGATAGAATATTCCAAATATTCTTTGGACTTGGAAGCAAAAAATGCGGATGATCAAAAGATTAAAATATGGATTCATTGACCCTTTTAAGAATGAATTCCTCGACACAGAGACGCAGTTATCAGCTCTCTGCATCAACTGCATCAGAGAACCTGAAATAAACTGTGAGTCATGGGCAGCAGCTTCTCTCGTGGTTTCATTTACTTCCTCTTTGATATCACTTTTCAGCTTCGCTTCTGATCACATCAGCTGAACCAGTGATTCCAGGACGCCTGCTCACACATTAACTCACTGACTTGCAAAGTCTTACATTTTTAATTATGTTTTTTTTTTCATGAGGCTTTAAGAAATCCAACTATTCAATAATTCACAAGAGTTCAGTAAAGTGAGAAATACTTTTTATATATTTATTTTCTCTGTGTATCATCTCACGATCTCAGTTTTATAACGTAAGGAAGAAAACAACGAAACCCGACCAATCAGATCAAATGTTTGAGAAATTTGTGTGTTTTTGTGTTTTGATTACTTGTCCTCATGCTCATAGATGTTGAGCCCGAGCGCGTCGACCCCGAGCCACAGCTCCGTACCCTTCTTGTTTTTTATCTCAAAGTAGTTGACGCCGTACATCTCCAGGTCCTGAGCGATCTTCAGATACTCCATCATGGCGTCCTCCCTGCACACACGCACAGACACAAAAGGTCACGACATGGAACTGAGGATCCTGGAGCCAAAGTGTTAAAAGCTTGATTGACAGTACAGTCGTCTCTGACCTGAGCATGCTCCTGTGTTCCTCGTGCCAGGTCTGTATTCTGTCCTCCCACTGTTCCTTTGTCAGCTTGTGTTGCTCCAGAACTCTGCGAGACATAAACACACTTTTACTATTTGTGTACATTAACACTTTTATCCTGACTGCTTTGAGTACTGTGTATACACCGTACCGTTGTGGCAGTAGCCGGTCGGAGGCCAGGTAGCCCGGCTTGTGAACGTCTTTGCTGTAATCTCCATACTTGGCCTGGACAGCGTAGGAGGCCAGCAGCACGGCCGTCTCCGGGGGACAGTAGTTCTCATCGTTTAGAATGGCCTCCTTCACCTGCGGGGAGGATACACACACACCACACACACACACACCACACACACACACACAATCAGTCAGCAGAAGCTACCAAAACCACAAGCTGCAAACATTTTAACACAATATATTCATATGCTTGAATCGTTTAATCGTTTGAAAACAATGACAGGGCGATAATTCTAGTTTTTCCTGCATCAGATACACGAGAATGACAAGTTATTATTTTGTGCATCTCTAAAAGTCAAGTTTAAAGTATCTTGGCAGAGCAGTCGTTCGGTACCTGCAGGAAGAAGAGCTTCTGTGTGATCTCCTGGATGAGCTCCTCGGAAACGTCCTCTGGGAAGAACTTTGCTCTGAACTTGAACTGCAGCGGATTCTCCTTCTTCACATCCTGCTGGGTCACCTGAGAAAAAACACCCACACACGTCACCTCATGCTTCACACTTCACACGTCGTGTGCGTCGTGTAAAGTCCTGAGGAAATCCGCCTCTGTGGCTTCATTTAAAACTTGACGAAAGAAATATTCTGTAATATTCATAAAGGTTTTTCCTTCAGCAAACAGAATATTAAAGGGAGATTATAAATACAAGTTCACTTCTAAGGCTTTGCAGCAAGATAAAGTCTGACAAACTCCACAAGAGGATGAAAGTTTACTATTTAAAATCCTTTAAACTTTAATAATGTTTGTGGAAATGAATGAATAAAATAAAGATATAAAAAGTGGGGTTGAGGGTCTCTCACCTTTTTGTTGAGTTTGAGCCACGTCACGTAGCCTTTACTGTCTGTGTACTGGAGGCCGAAGAACCAGACCTCCCTCAAACCCACCGTCTTCACCACCTGAAACCACAGACGTCGTTTTTAACAGCAAGGAAATATACATAATCAATCAAGCTTCTATATTATTATACAATGGGGTTTTGAGTTAAGACAGAAATATATATCTTTATTCACGTTGCTTTGTACACAACAGGAAAACGTCTCAGAGCATCTTTATTACCTTCAACATTAAATAACCAATCAAAATGAAGAATTGAAAAAAATAAATCCACTTATCGCATCACATCATTGAGGCATCAGACATGAGTAGAATAAATTTTCTAGAATTGGTGTTTGTCATTATTCTATAAAAATAAAACTGAACTGAACTGAATATCCTGGAAGGAAGAGAAATCTATATTTAGATCACGTGAGGATCTCCATGAGATTGTGTTGAGTCACTGTCTAAAAAAACCTCATCATATGCTGCAGCAGATCTTCTCCCATCGCCAGTAAAACTGTTCTCTAACTTGAAGGGCACTGGGAGAGCGTACAGGAAATGAAAAGTTCCTGGATCCACTGGTTTGTTTGGATCTGTTTACCAGCTTCCTCTTTGGGTTTACATCCCACCCACCATCGTTTGAGGAGCTTTTGTCTAATCCTGCTGACGACGAACGCTGATAAAAACATGTTGTTCTCGGTGAAGGAAATAAAAATCTGCAAGTTTCAGCCAGTATCTCTATTTTCTTTCCTTCCTCTTTTTCCCTTCTTCTATTTTGCTTCCTCTTCTCTTTCTACCTCCCTTCTCTCTCTCTCTCTCTCTCCCCAACATGCTCACGTGCTCGGTCACTCACAAACTATCGACATATTCACACATTTATGGGGGGGGGGGGGGGCGCCGGTCCCCAAGGGGACACTTACTGAGACCACAATGTGATTTACACGGTCAATACGACGGCTCTCACCACCACGTAATTAACTTTCTGTCCCACGCAGACACGGCCACATAAACACACCGAGAATCAAATAATTGCAGGGAGCAACACCCTGAACACGCTGTAGCGACACACACACACACACACACACACACACACACAGTCCTCTACACACACACACACACTGGGGCTGCAGAATGCAGAGGCAGCAGTATGAGAGCGCGGAATGCAGATTCAAGAAGTGAAGCCGCAGAATGAGAATAAATGGTTTGGGATGGTCGGCATGACAGAGAGAGGGAATAATGAGAGGAAGAAGAGAGAGGAGGGAAAACATTAGAGAGGCAGAAGCATCGAGCGGATTTCACCACTGAACAGAGACAAGATGAAAACACTTGTTCATACATGTGTTTAACGGTGTGTGTGTGATTATGATGCATCAGAAGTACACACACACACAAACACACACACAATGATGAAAGGACTTAGTGAGACGGGAAAGCTTTTTAATCAAACTAACCTGTGTAACCCTGCCGCCCTGTGTGTGTGTGTGTGTGTGTGTGTGTGTGTGTGTTCATATTTAGCTCTGCAGCTTCATCAATGGAGCCCTCTCTTCATTCATGTGAATTAAAGCAGCTTTCAGGTCGCTGCTTCTGACGCGACCCACGAGCGATCACAGGGAGACGTGACTGTGTTCGTCCCACAACAGCACAGAGCTGTACACAAAGATGGACGACACAGCCCCCCCCCCCCCAAATGAAGCAAAAATATCCTGGATACGAACGCTGCCATCTGTTTTTCAGAATATATCCTTATTTTCTTTTCACTGTTTCTTCGTTAAAAGCCCCCCCCCCCCCATCGATACACGAGCCCGATCAATCGTGAGCCCGTCTCAGCTGTCAATCATGAAGTTTCACCCCATTTTGTAGCATCAAATAATTAAATACTAATTAAAACCAAACTTAAGTACATGAACATTTGATCAAACGTCAGTGTGATAAGCCAGCCACCAGGGGGCGATCAAGACATTCTGGTTTGCTGTAATGTCGTCCATTTAGCTATCACCATGGTAACAGGTCAATGCCACATCGCTTGAATAGATGAACTCTAGAACCCGAACGTTCTTTTTCCTGGTTTTGTGCATCGCCTCTTTATTGTGTATGTCACATAACTTCAACAGAACCCGGTCACATGTTTTACTTTCATTCTGGCACAGGAGTGTTTTTCAAAGAGAGCGAGGAGCTTTTTTATCCGCATCTATTTTTAGCTCCCTGATGGACACATGAAACTTCACAATGTCCACTGACGTCTGTCGTTACATCAACACCTGTTACCTCACTCACCTTTCACCTCCTGTCTCCGCTCCATTCTCTTTCAGTACAGTCGGGAGGTTTTGACCAGATTTTCATCTGTTATCGTTGACAGGTTAATTATTGTTTAGCTCTGGTTCACAGAGTTTACAGTCCGAAACTAAAACTTACAGATCAGGAAAGAAACAGAGTGAATCCTTGTTTTTAAGAATCTGGAACCTGTGACTTGAATGAGTCATCGAATAACTGAATAATCAATTAACTAATTGGGATGTTTTCTTCAGAACATCTCTAAACCCTGAACCTCTGAGTGTTACCAACTGTACTCAAGTACCAGGAGGAAAATCTAGATATAAAGTTTATCTAGATAAAAAGTACATATTGGACAGAAAACAGATGAGAGATAACTGATAGATTAATACACGACGAACACACAAACAGTAATATTCATATAAATAATGTGAATATAAATTGCTCCAGGAAACATGAAATAACCATCATCATCAGATTCACTGAGGGAGCAGGTGTGTCTGTGTTTGTGTGTGTGTGTGTGTGTGTGTGTGTGTGTGTGTGTGTGTGTGTGTGTGTGTGTGTGTGT